ACAATTTGTGTTGGCTTATAATTCAAGAATGTATGATGGACTATTGCATTATTTTTGTGGTTTATGGTTTGGCGCGAAACAAAACAAGCATAGAAGTTGCTGAACATACTGACGGAAGCGAATCCCCGACACAAGGTAGAGTGATTACCCGAGGATGCAACTTAGAATATGTGAGTACGGCTGATAATGACTGTCGCCACAGACAATTTCATTGCAGCGAACTAACTACACAGAAATTTGAAGAATTCCAACAATATATTAGTACTATTATTTATTAACCATACAATAATATTTAGGTAGGAGTACAAAAGAGGGCCGACTAATCGACCAACTAAAACCTAAACCATTATTAGTTAATCGTCCAAGTATCCCACAGGTCTGGAGGTAAACACTAGCACCGGAGCTCATAGAAAATAAAACCAGCTTCACCGTAGTGAAGCCATTTTCGCGCTGGCTGGTGCACGATGCTCTCATATAAAGAACCATTAATTAGAAACGGGGAAAATACTTGGGAGTGACGTTCTCGATTCGGGGCAAAACTGGTTCATTCTAGAGGAATACTCCTTGAAGGAGGACGCCTTTTACTGGCTTCTTGAATGTTTCTTCGAGGGCGAGCTCATTTCGAGAAGGTTATATATAGTGATCGCTGATTTGACTCACTCCTGCCATCAAAATTCACGATGTTTTGTATTTGAAAATATTGCCTGAGGCACCCAGAAACATGCATTCAAACCAGTTGTAGTCTTTTACTCTTTTAAAATTTGATTAATTATGTAGGTCATGTGTCTGGCTCTGCGTGAGACTCTTGTGAGCCTGTGGAGGAATCTGTTGATCCAACGTTACGGCCTATTCATACTGCCAGAGGATGAACCAGCTCTAAGACTTTATGGAATCTTTGATAGCATTATATTGTAATTCACAACAACACTTGCGGTTGACAGATTGTAATGCCAGGTGACTCACGCCTACTCACGTAGGCGGCAAGGCCATGCTACACAGTTTATCTGTAGTTATTCATTACTAATAATAGTAGATATTGTTGTAACCAGTTATCAGGCATGTGCAAGTGAACAAGTTCAGAATAAATGTTATACCAAAGTTCATGTGGTACTTGTAAATATTCAAACCCTTCATCCACACAAATCCTGAAACATCATTAGCTGTTCACCAAGAGCAGCACAAAGGGATAGGTTCCCCTTGCGTGTTTTGGTACTGACTACAGGTCGTGTTTGATCTCTTAGTGTATTCAGTTACATTACTAGCAATTTGATTTTAGTCTCAGGAATATCTATCTACTTCTCCTTTAGACTGCCTGACAGAATTGCCGATTTCAAATAATGGTGAGGATTGTTTCCATTACTAGTTGTATGTTCAGGTATTCGTTGAATAAATATTCCTAGAATCGGTTTCCAATGTACGCACAACTAATTTTGGCCACATGGACCGAAGACCACGAAATATTCAGTTCTACTATTGCCAGAAACGACAACGACAGAAGTTCAAGTCCATGGAATATTCCGTTTGGAGTTAAATACCTGGATGCGTTCTCAAGCATAATTTTTGATGATACTCATTTCGTGAGCTGGATGCTTTTGTTACACATTGTACTGTCTCCCTCTACACAAGGTGCAAGCCTGTTTTTTCGGATGAGAATTGTTGATGGCATCCAGCAGCTTCTCAGGAATATCATCGGCTTTCAGAGTGAACCCTTCCAGGCGATGAGAACCGGAACTGTGATATTAGTGCATTCTTGAGGAATTCCGGCATTCTACACCACGCAAATTGTTGGTGAAGAGTTAGGTGATCTCCACTCCACCCATTTTTAGCTTTATCGGCTTATCTCTGAATTTCAGGGCTTCCGCTGCTAAAAGGGAGGTGGTCACAGCGCGTTCGTAGACGGAGTTAGGTGATCTCCACTCCACCCATTTTAGCTTTATCGGCTTATCTCTGGATTTCAGGGCTTTCGCTGCTAAAAGGGCGATGGTCACAGCGCGTTCGTAGACAGCAGCGATTTAGTGGCGCAGCAGGTGCTACGTCATATCTTCACCCTTTTCCCACTGATCGTTAGCATTTCACCGTCGGTGTTGCGAAATTTTTGGTCAGAGGTTCCATGTTGCTTACTCAGTGATTACGGACGTGTACACGTGTAATTCTTAGTCCAATCAGGCTCATGCCGTCAGAAGGTGATTGTGAGGTAAACTCTAAAATTTGTATGGCTGATTCTTTTATTCGTCCAGCTGATCAGTCCCAACCAGGACAGAAGGTCTCATGGAGCTAAGCTTTTCATCAACCAGTCACATATTTACTATGCCATTCGGTTAAAACTTCGAGGATACGTCTCGTCATTCATCAAGTGCTCTGTAGAGATGGATCATCAGTTGCACAACAATAAGAATGTATCAGTGGTCAGGGTTTTTCAACCTCATTTTCCGAACCCGGATTCCTAAAATTCACGGAAAATTTACGCGTACACAGATGTGCAAAGTAAGATGAATGTTTAGCAAATTTTTGGAAGCTTCTTCGCTGCTTTAAGTTCTACACCATTTGAGTAGTAAAGTAGCTGCAAATACAGGGAAGTAAGGAAGACCCTTGATCTATCTATAACGACGACCATAGTTTTGGAGATGAGATGAATATGGCTTCTGAGCTGCTTGTCACAAAAGTCCCCAGAATCTTTTCTGATTTGTTTGGTTTCAAGGTGAAGAACTGTGGTTTCTGCAAATTACATGTGGTCCACACAAATCTTCACTACCATGAGGTTAAGAGAGATTGTTGGAATATTTTTGAATATTTTTCGAATTTATATATATAT